GCGCTGTGCTGCGTTGCAACCTGCCCCCTGGCGCCCAGCGCGCGGTGGTCTCCTTGGTGCTGGTGCTGCTAGTCCTCATCAACGTCGTGCTTATCTTCCTGCTGGCCTTCCGCTGAGCCGGCAGTCGGCCCGCGCCGCTGGGTGAGTGGCCCGGCGCTCCGGCCTCTGTCATCCGTGGCCCACACAGCATGCGGGGGGGCGGGGAGGTCTCCCACCACCCATATGCTCACTCTGGGGTGCACCATGCCTGAGCCCCTGGGGCAAGGTGCACACGTGCGCGGGGTCCTTCTGTCTGCCCTCTGTGCCATGGGGAAGGGGTATGGCGCAGTTCCAAGAGTAACTGAGGATGCGGGGCCGGGTGGGAAGTGTGCGTGTGCCTGTGAGCGCAAGGCACGCAAGGCTGGGAATGCACCTGTGCGGGTCGAGCCAGGTCTGTGAGCGATGTCCAGGCTCCTCGGAATGTCGCCCGCAGCCGCTTTCCCTATTCGGCCTCCTTAGAGCCAGAGCCCTCTGAACACACTGAGCCCGCGTGGAGGCCAGCCTAGCGTTCCTGGGCTGGTGGAGTCACGAGCTCCTGCGTGTGAGAGGAAGGAGCTGTCAACATGGGGCTGGCGGAAATGGTCAGTCATCGGGACAGGGCAAGGCAGTCTGGCAGCTTTGCCCTCCCCTGTGGTCAAAGCCGTGGACAAAGGGAAGGATCCCAGCCCAGCCTTGCACTTGTCCCTCCAGTCACCCCACCTGCCCCCCATAAACATCTCAGGCTATTGGGCTTGACTCTTGGTTTAAGGAGCAGCTGCACCCAAGACAGCACCAGGAGAAACCTCTGCCTGGAAGCCCGCCCAGCTGCCGTGCAGGTGCATCCGTTTCTGATGTCTTAGGAATGCGTCTCTATCTCCTGATATCACATGGTGATGTCACAGGCAGCTGTTGCTGCTACTGAGACACGGAGGGGACACAGGGATATCGGAGAACTTGCTAGTGGCCATGTGTCTATTTGGTGTCTCCTGGCCACGCATGGTTCCAGGACAAGGACACAACACCTTCCTACCTCCACCTCAAGGGCTTCTAGGTGACTGGGCTAGGCAGCCTGAGAACTTGTCTGAGAACAGAGCCCAGAAGCCCGGTTCCTGTGAAGCCCAGCCTCCTGGCCCACACCTTCCACTGCTTCCCAGCAGCTGCGGGAAACACCCCTGGGGGGCTGCACCATAGAGGGAGGGCTGCAGAGCGCCAGGCCGGAGGGACCTGTTGATGACTCGGGTCAGAGGCAGGTGTTCCGTGTGGCTGTGTATGCAGGATCGGTCTAGGACCGGGGTCAGTGGGCAGCCCTGCTGTGCTGAGTGTGGCTTCCTTCCCCGTATCTGTGCCTGTGCTTACAGACCCTGTATCGGGTCTGGTCCCTTGCTTGTTCACTGGCTCACCCGTACCACCAGGAACGCCCACCTTCTTCTTTCTCTTGAGCCACGTCCTTCAAGGTCTCACATGGCAGCCTGCTGGGGGAGATGTGTCAGCTCCACAGGTGCAGCAGGCTGGCCCTTCTCACATGGTCAAACTGAATCCTCCTAGTTCATCCATCCGTGTGACTGTGTGAGCACCTGCAGGTCATCACAGCTGGGAGTGAGGACAGAGGGCCAAGGTCTGCTGCTTCTGGGGGTATCCCAGTGCTCTGTGCCTGGGTACCTGTGCGGACTTCTGAAACAGCCACCGAACCATGAGTGTAGGCATGCAGACATGTTTGGAGTAGCTGTCACCCTCAGAAAAGAGTAAGAGCCAGTGACTGAGCTTCCCAAACCTGCTTGGAGGAAAGCCCTGGCCCCTCTCCCTGCCACGTGGGTCTGAGACGGAGGCTCAAGCAGTCCCACCTGAGTGCAGCCCTGCTCTCAGCCCGTGTCAATGTGAGGATTCGCATGCACACTGCCCTAGGAGCACCCAGGAAAATTAGGAGTAGAGGGCTCACAAGGCATAGAGGCAACTCGGTGGAGTGTCTGCCAAGTGACACACAGATCGCTGCTTGACTGCTACGCCTGCGGGTGGCTGTGGTAGGCCGCACACACACTCAGTCTCAGCAGAGAGGGGTATTTGCAACTCCAAGCCCACCCCTTTTCTCCTGTCCTGAAGCACTGGAGCAGGGGAGGAGCCTACATTACAAGAAAGCAGCTGTCAGCCCAATGAGAAACAGAGCTCCATGTGCAAGGGCTGCCTGAGAGGCAGTGAGGAGCAGGCTCGAGCCAATCCACTTCAAAGGGGAGTTTATCGGTAATTTGAGCGGAGACATCAGAACTGAGATTTGGAAGCTAAGGGGCTCAGTCAGGAGTGAGGAAGGAGTGGCCTAGCTCAGAGGGAGGGACTCAAGGGTAGGCAAAATCCTACATCAAGTTCACTTCAGACTCCACCACTGTGCCCTGGACAGTCTTGATGTGCCCAGGGCACAGCTGTGCTCCAGAATAGCTGCTGGCTAGGAGGAAGCCTGTCAGCCTCTCTGTGAAGTGCATCGGTTGCTGAAGGTGGGGACAGAGCACAGGGAGGGCCTCAGCCTGGGGCCCAGGACAACTGTGCCCTACTGACCCACCTGCTGTGGCTCTCTCCACAGCTCATCAGCGATGGCAGTGTGGTCTGTGCTGAAGCACTCTGGGACCATGTCACCATGGACGACCAAGAGCTGGGCTTCAAAGCTGGGGACGTCATCGAAGTGATGGATGCCACCAACAGAGAGTGGTGGTGGGGCCGTGTCACCGACGGCGAGGGGTGGTTTCCAGCCAGCTTCGTGCGGGTATGGTCCCACGCTCAAGAAGAGCCACCTGGGGAAATCCATGCTCAGATCAGTTCTGGAGTCCCAGGTTCTGGGCATGGACCTCACCCTCTCCACAGTGCGGGACCTGGTGCCTTGGGCTGCATGGGTGGGTGTCCCAGAACTGGGACACAGCTTTCCTTGCGCCACAGGGCCACCAACACTTCCCTCTGTCCCCTGACCCAACCTCCTCCTGGAGGGCCCTCAGGCTAGGGGAAGCAAGCAGCTTACACCTGCGGAGTGGAGCGGTGTATGTGAGAGTACCACATACCATGAACAGCGGATATACCCGCACACCTCTGGGAGGCAGCGGGACTCACACAAGCTGAGGCACACACGAGTCAAGTCATTAACCGAGGTGTTCACAGGGAGGGGACCCAGGCAGGTCCCACCTAAGGCACTCTGGTCTCCAGGAAAGGAATCTTAAGTGCAGTTTCCAAAAGGCCAGACTGGGGCAGCAGGCAGGGAGAGCCCAGGCCCTGGCATTCAGCTTTTCCTCCTGTTCCAGGCTCCCTTGGGTGAACTGCCCTCTGCACCTCAAGCCCTCTCCTGAATTTAGAGGTTGGAGAGCAGTGAGACCATGCCAGCATGCCCCAGCGTCACGTCACGGCCCCTAGGTGGTCCGGTAGGAGCAGGCTGTGGTTCTGAGTCCTGGCGCATACTCCAGGGACCATGTTGAACATAAGCAGTCTACGGAAAACGGGGCATGGGGCCTGCCAAGGCCAGGGTGGCTTGTGAACAGTGGCAGCGTAAGGCGCTGTCCCACTGCCCACCCTGTATGCACCATGATGCAGCTGCACCCTAGGCCACCGTGTTCCCCTTGGGTGGCCCAGGCTTGGCCCCGCACGGCCACCGTAGTGTGCAAGGTTGTAGGGCTGACCGGCCTCCTGTTGCCTATAGCTGCGGGTGAACCAAGACGAGCCTGTGGAAGACGATGAGGCCCCGCAGGCCCAGAACGGCGAGGCAGAGGACGGTGGAGCTGAGGTACAGAGCAGCAAGGACCAGATGCGGACCAATGTCATCAATGAGATCCTCAGCACTGAGCGCGACTATATCAAGCACCTGCGAGACATCTGCGAGGTAAGGGGAGGCCCCGCCCAGCCAGGCGGAGCAGGGTGCAACAAGCCCTGACCACGCCTCGCCCCCAGGGCTACATCAGGCAGTGCCGAAAACGCGCGGACATGTTCAGTGAAGAGCAGTTGCACACCATCTTCGGCAACATCGAGGACATCTACCGTTGCCAGAAGGCGTTCGTGAAGGCCCTGGAGCAGAAATTCAACAGCAAAAGCCCACACTTGAGTGAGCTGGGTGCCTGCTTCCTGGAACATGTGAGCACCGCTCCCCACCCGGACTCCCGAGCCTGCTTGCCAATCCCGTCTGTGTGCTGGGGCCCTGCCCTCTTCCCCACTCACCCCAGCCCCTGCTTATTTGCTCTTTGCTCCCTGCTCCATCCCGGCCACGTGCTGCCCTCTTCCCAGAAGCTTCCCAACTGTGCACACCATCGGCCTTCTCAGCTGCCCTCAGCAGTTTCAGGAGGGTCTCCTGCTTCTGTGGGGGGAGCGAGTCAGGGAAGGCTCTCGGGAGCACAGGTCTAAAGATTAGCCTGCCAGGGATCTGCTCTGGGCAGAGAAGAGGGAATAAGGGCTGGACCACCTGTTGAGAGCCGGGATCTGTTGCACTAGATTCTAGGGCTCCTTACAGAGTGGGCAAACTGGTATTTGTGTGGCATTTACAGCCAGCATCCACTCTGGATGCAAGTGGTGCTGCACCGACCTCCATCACCTGGGCTGCTCTACCTGTAACTCCTTTCACTCTTGCCTGACGGAGCAAGGACAGCTGAGCAAAGCCTGTCTCTCCCAGCCCCAACCACCATGCTTTCTGGCCTCAACGGCCCTGCCTAAACTGATACAGTTCAAATATCTGCTAAGCGTCTTACTGATAAAGCGGGGAGCAACAGGTGGCCCTCACAGCATACGTGTCCTCACAGGTTTTCCCGTCTGTGGGTGACTCGACGTAGCTCATGCCCCATCACCAAGTAGGTACACAGCCTGGCTCCTGAAGGGAATACAGAGGCCTTGGCTCTCCCAGATGGCTGCCAGTTTTGCTTGGGAAGCAGGAGACATCCACCCTAACCCAAACTTTTCCTCTACCACCCAGCAAGCAGACTTCCAGATTTACTCCGAATACTGCAACAACCACCCCAACGCCTGCGTGGAGCTCTCGAGGCTCACCAAACTCAGCAAGTACGTGTACTTCTTTGAGGCCTGCAGGCTGCTGCAGAAGATGATTGACATCTCTCTGGACGGCTTCCTGCTGACACCAGTACAGAAGATCTGCAAGTACCCCCTGCAGTTGGCCGAGCTGCTTAAGTACACACACCCCCAACACAGGTATGAGATGCTGGGGCCCTGTGCAACTCTAACCAGCTTTTGAGCACCTGCAGTGTTCCAAGTACTACTGTAGGCACAGGGCCCCACCCTCAAGCTGCCACTGTAATGGGGAGACAGCAATAGGTTAGAGTTCTGTGCTGTGCCTGGTATTTCTGGTCAAGAGGCAGAGCCCCAGAGGGAGCCCCACCAGGCAGGCTTCAGGAGACACCGACAACTCGACTCACCAGACTACTGCACCCTTCCATCTCTGTTCTGCCCAGGGACTTTAAGGATGTTGAAGCTGCCTTGCATGCCATGAAGAATGTGGCTCAGCTCATCAACGAACGGAAACGGAGACTTGAAAACATCGACAAGATTGCTCACTGGCAGAGCTCCATAGAGGACTGGGAGGTGAGGGTCTCAGAACCCAGAAAATACTGTGAGATCCTGGCCTACCTCTGAAAAGTCTAGGAGGGAGAAGCAGGGAGCCAGGCTCCTGGGAACTAGTGGGCATTCATGGTGAAAAAGCAGGTTCTTATGTGCAGGTACAGGGACTTTGGTGCTACCTCCCAGAGCCAGACTTGAGCACTGGTGGCCTTCTGGCCTGTGTGAGATTTGATATTCTCCCCCACCAGCTACCATCCATCCCCCAACAAGGAAGGATGTTTTTCTGAAGCATCAGTCTGTTCCTCTGCCCTCGGGGGACAAGCTCTATCCCTGGGATTCAGTCAATTTCTGGGACTCCCAACACTAGGGTTCCTTGCCCAACAGCATAAGCAAAAATGGACTGCCTCCTGGCTCTGTTTATCTGGCTTGTCCATTCCCTGTGTATCTTTGCAACACCAAGGCTTGAGACATTCCTGTTCTCCAGGGACAGGGGACTCTGCCTCTCTACCACCTACCAATATGCCTCCTTGTGAGGCTCCCTACCCACATGGTGCCACTCTCAAGTACTGTGTAAGATTATCATGAAAGGTAATTACCTGAAAATCAATCACAGTCAGCCACAGAGCACATAAAAACACAAGGGCTGGACCCTGGACAATGAATTGGCATCCCTGGGTTGGGACTTGACAGTGTGGTCTACTGGTTCTGAGGCCCAGCCCAGGGTGAGATGACCTGTATGAGCTCAGTCATCCCAACTGGACGGCTGCCAGTGGCCCCGGGTAGAGAGCTTAGTCTGAAACTTTGAAGTTCTGATGGTGGAACTCAGGTCCTAAAATATATTTAAGCTGAGGGGGGCTCTCCTTAAGACCTCTATTAGGCTCCAGAGGTGAACTTTTAGGGCAGCAATGTCCAGTCAAAAGATCATGTGAGCAACATACAGATTTCTATACTTCTAGCACTGTCTTAACAAAGGAAGAAACAAGTGAAAGTGACTATTAATGATGTTTTGACTCAATAATATATCCAATCATTTGAACTTGTAGTCAGCATAAAATGTGATTCATGAGATACTTTATACTGTTTCACACTAAATCTTCAAAGTCAGTGTGTATTTTACCCTAGGACTGCATCTCAGTACAGAGTGGACACATTTCCACATTCAAGAGCCACAGCTCTTGAGCCCGACTACAGCAGGCCCAGTTTAAAAGGCCGGCCAAACCCGGGCAAACCCACTGGTCTCTCTTCCCCCGTCAGGACCCAGAGGACTTCCTGGGCTTCCAGAGCGTCCCTTCCACTGGGCTCAGTCGAGGAAGATTGCCTGCAGGGGAAGGCCCTACTCAGCCCACCACAGTGAAGGCAGAGTGGCGAGCCCGAGGTTGGGTGTGCCCAGCTCATGACTTTCCTTGGGGTCCCTCAGGGGGAAGATCTCTTGGTTAGGAGCTCGGAACTCATCTACTCGGGGGAGCTGACTCGTGTCACACAGCCTCAAGCCAAGAGCCAGCAGAGAATGTTTTTTCTCTTCGACCACCAGCTCATCTACTGTAAGAAGGTACCAGTCACTGACCTGCTGGGTCAGTTCCATTTAAAGCAGGTGGAGGGACTGAAGCTCAGGGATGGGGACCACTGCCCAAAGTGAAGGAGCCTGACAGACCCTACACAGCCACCCCCGGGAGCCCTCAGGTCTGGGATGAGGTGAGGGTAACTCTGTGGGGTGTGCCCAGCCTAGCTGAAGATACCCTCATTCTTGAACTATCCCCTGCCTGCTTCTGAAGTCACCACCTCCCCTGGAAGTCTGTGCTTCCCTTCTCATCTTCCTGTAGCTTGTAGCTTCTGCTTCTCTTTCAAATATGGCCCAGAGGACCCCCATTACCAGAAGCCCTCCTTGTCCACTGCACTCTTCTCTGCTGTGATGTGTCTGGTGCTGCCTTAGTTTCACGGCTGTCACCCCACCAGACCACACACAACTCAAAGACAGGGTGGCTCCCAACCAGTAAGCAGCTGGCGTCCTGGGCTACACCAGGGTCAGCACCTGATGACTGGGGAAGGGGCTGGGCAGAGGGTGGTGGGCCCAGGACACGGGCAGCAGATACGAGCCACGGCTCAGGATGGCATCTGGCAGGACCTACTCCGCCGAGACGTGCTATACTACAAGGGCAGGCTGGACATGGATGGCCTGGAGGTGGTGGACTTAGAGGATGGGAAGGACCGAGACCTCCATGTGAACATCAAGAATGCCTTCCGGCTGCACTGTGGCATCTCAGGAGACAGCCATCTACTGTGTGCCAGGAAGCCTGAGCAGAAGCAGCGCTGGCTGAAGGCCTTCGCCAGGGAGAGGGAGCAGGTGCAGCTGGACCAGGAGACAGGTGCGAGACCTTGCCCCGCTCTGGCCCACCCAGTCCTCCTGCCAGGCTGCCAGGCTGTTAGGGCGTCAGGACCATTGAGAAATAATGAGTGCATCTCAGACCCAAGCCTGCAAGCTAGGTGAGGCCCCAAGAGCCTCTTGGTCCTACCAGTAAGCACAGACACTGCCATCCTCAGCCTTCACCTCCAGGACATAGTCTGCTGGCTAGGGTGGGGACCACAGGCTCCCACAGACACTCCCAGAACATTGCTCAGAGCTTGGGAAACCCTCACCAGGCAGCTCAAGCCCTGGGAGGTAGGTACCAGCTTCCAGAACACTCCCTGCCCCATGTAAGCAGGCCTCTCCCCAGTGCCTTTCTCCTGTTATACGCCCTGACATACTCAGCAGTGACCAGGACAGCCTGTGACTAGGGACATCCTCCACTGCAGCACAGAGAAAAAGATAAGATGCTGGCCAAGTGGGGGGGGTGCATGGGGCTGAGCCGAGATGGAGGTCATGCGGGGCGTCTCAAAGGGCTCCAGCCTCCATCGTGGCAAAGCAGGCGGATTAAGCAGGCTGGGAAATGGTCCAGCATTGTGGGAGGACCACAACTGGGCCCACAAAGCACACCGCCTACGGAGGCGTGTGGACAGGGAAGGACGAAGGGGATCTCGTGTGTGCCGTCTCCCCAGGCTTCTCCATCACTGAGCCGCAGAGGAAGCAGGCCATGCTGAATGCCAGCAGACAGCAGGCCACAGGGAAGCCCAAAGGTAAGCGGCTGGCAGTTCCAGCTTGGGCAGTTCTGGACTGATTACATTCCCCTCCGACCCGTAAAGCAAAACCACTAGACCCCTGCGTATTCAGAAGTGCCCAATGACCTCTGCAGGTGCGTTCCCAAAGGCTGGTGATAAGGAGCCACCAGTGATAAAAGCTGGGTCAGTTTGCAGCTGTTCTTGCTCTTGGCCTCTCTGACCTCCCCAGAATGGCACCATGAGTGCCAGTGCTCACTTCCCCAGGCTCTCTGACACTGTCACAGCTGCCTAGGAAGGCGTGCATCCTGTTTCTACAGATAGAGCTAAGTGTCACATAACTCGGACACAGCCACTCACCATCCCCTCCGCAGTAAGCCAGGCCCAGGCCGAAGGCTCTAGAGTATGGTCAGTCCCCGGGGAAACAAGTGCTGTGCAGCAAAATCGCCACAAATGGGGGCAGGGGTATCCCTGCAGAGCCCTGCCATGGGGACCTCTACCCTGTGCCGGTGGACACCCATGACTGCTGTTTCTCCCTCCCCAGCTGTTAGCAGGCCCTGCTACCTGACACGCCAGAAGCACCCAACAGTGCCTGTCAGCCGGCCCCAACAGCAGGTCTTGGTCCTGGCAGAGCCCCGACGGAAACCATCCACCTTCTGGCACAGCATTAGCAGACTAGCACCCTTCCGCAAATGAACCAGCACTCACCTGACAGCACTTTGTGGATCTCTTCGCCCACAGCCCCAAGCTTTGCCTCCCCAAGGCCCGCTCCACCTGGCCATTCTCTGCCTGATTTGCAAACTGGAAGCGAGCAGGGCTAAGCAAAGGAGTTGCCAGTTGTTCACTTCTGGATTTCATCCCTGCTGCTGGTGCAGTGAAGAGACCAGCTGGGAGGTAGATGCAGGGCTCCCGCACGAGCAGCACCTCCTGCAGCCTGCCTACCACCTCTCCGGCTCCACCTGCACTCTGGAGCCAGGGAGGCATAGCTCAGACCATCGGCAGGGCTGCCATGCAGAAGTTGCTGGCTACTCCAGACTCCAGAAATCTAATCATCCCTAAGCCTATCTCTGGGCAGGAGAAGCTTGCCCTATGGCCACCAGCCTCCTGCAAAGCCAGATTGTGTGCCCCTCTGCCCTCCAGTTCTTATAGGCCCACAACCCAGTGGGCCGGGCCAGGCCACTTGCAACCTCAGAAGGCAGGAAGCAGGAATTCTGTGCCCAAAATGTCTGGCCCAGAGCTGCCCTTCTGCCTCCTAGTCCCTCTAAACGCTGCTGGCTGCTGGATACCTCTTCATTTGTGATGTTGGGTGTGTGTTGTGAGAACAAAACCAAACAGCCACATATGGATGTTCATGTTTTGTGACCAGTCCACCTGTAGCTGTAAGGTGGCTGCAGAATCACGTGGTTTGTTTTGTTTGGATTTTGTTGTATTTTTTTTCTAGACAGAGAAAAATAATTGTTAGTGACACAGAAAGCCTTATCCTAGTGAGCGTGAGAAGCCATAAGGACTGAATTCTTGGCCCAGGACCCAGGATTGACCCACCCAGCCCAGGTGGCAGGCGTCATGAGGCACCCACATCCTGTGGGGATGTGGGGGCTGCAGCCCACGCGTTGGCATGGAGCCCACAGGACTCAGCAGCAGAGACGGTCACTCTTGCACTATACCTTCTCCAAGCCAGAAACCACATTAATTTCATAAAGAAACTTGTGAAAAGTAACCTGGCTGCCAGCCTCTTTGTTGGTGTGTGTGTGTCTGTGCATTTTCTTCCACATACACAACCCAGCTTTGCTTGCCTGCCACCCAGGGGAGGAATGGGCCTAGAAGCAAGGGAATAAGGACTGCAACCCCCAGAGCTGGCTAGGAATGAGGCGCAGCTGACGCCATTCCTCTCTGCCCTGGTCCCCAGGGCCTCCAGGCTGCTTCCCTTCCTTACTGCTCCTGGTGCATTCTGCTGGGACTTTCTGGGGCTCAGCATCATCCCTGCTGAATGGGAAGACCCCGGCCCCAAAAGCCAGGAGAGAAGCCTGAGGCCGCTTCCCTCTGTCTTCCACAGGGACACACAGCCCCTTACCCCACACATACACTCCACTGCCTGCACAGCACCCCGACCAACCTCTGGCAATTTCCTAACGTGTGAGAAGCTGCCATACCTACCAGTCAAACTACACTGTATCTGGGCAAAACTCAATGAAACAACCATGCAAAACAAAGTATGCAACACAAGTCAATCTTTATTGAAAACTGCAGTATTAATACATAACAATTCATTACAATAAACGTGCCTTTAAGAATTTTAAATCTGAGCTCATCCACTCATCAGATTGCATAAAAAATTAAAATAGTATGAATTTACACCTAATTGAACTGGCTCAGCATGGATGGTCCATTCCTTTATATTGACATGTGAGTTCAATGCAGAGGCGAGGGTGCCTTGAACACTGGAAGACAATGCCGACTTAAGCTTTAAAAAAGTACCAAGAGAACAGTGTAAAAAACAGTATTTAAAAATCATAAAAAAAAAAAAAAAAGGGACCCATTTTCTATCCTGTCACAGCCCATGAGGCTCCTTGGGCCCTTTCCTCCAAGATGCCATCACCACAACCCACCAGGAGTAGTCTCTGATCTGGCCCACTCATCTGTTACTGCCCACCAGCCTGCATCAGGGCCCACAGTCCACCCTGCCCAGGGGCTGCCTGCTGTGCTCACCTGGGACAGCCCAGTCTCCTGAAGTGCATACGAGCTCTCTGGATAGATTCTGCTCCTCTGTCTCATTGTCCCAAGGGACTAAACTGTGACTAAAGCAAGGTTACCCCACAGGTTTTCCATTCTTCAAATGAACTCAGAGCCAGGAAGACAAGACAACACTTCAGACAGGCAAGATCAACGTCCAAGCTTATGCCGAGACCTCACATCCCCACCTGCAGTGCACTCAGGAGTCTGCCAGCCTTCCAGAAGCTAAGGCAAACAGTAAGCAGCTGAAACACACACAGATCTGGGAGGTGTACCCTCCTTAAGCCAACCACATTCCTACCAGACCCCCTTAGAAAGCACCAGAGAGAAGGACCAGTGGCTGCCCCACCTGCTGTCGCACCCAGGGGAGGTCCCATGCTGCCCAGGCAGTGCCAGGCCAACTACAAGTGGAACAGCCAACTGTCAGCTGCCAGATGAGAGAAGGTGGCCCAATTGGTCACAGTAATACTGTATCTAAATGTTCAAAAAAGATAGGTGAAGTCTGGATTTCCTTTGCAAAGCAGCCCAATATTTATACAACTGGATCACGAAAGCTCCCACAAGGACACTGCTGCTGGATGTCAGTGCATTCCAAACTGCCTAAGAATGTATGTCCTCTTATTGGCATGTCTTCCAAGAACACTTGTAACTTACTTCCTAGCTGCCTGTCACAGCAGGATGACACCACCAGATGGAGCCACGCACCAGGTGCCTAGACACTCAGCAGCCTGAAGCCTAGCCCATGTCCCTGCCACCTAAAAATACATTTGCATAGCACTCAGGAAAGGATTTCACAGAATAGCAACTGGTAGGCCATCAGCATACAAGAACGGTCTTAGAAGATGGTTCATAGCATACATGAAAGGTTCTGGAAGCACTTCCCTGCACGTGACCATGACTGGCCCTGGCTCTGAGGGTGGCCTCACTTCTGAGTCAGGGAGCACATGGGCTGACTTTACAACATTCACTCAGCCTCCAACCAGCTCCAACTACATTTCTATCGGCTGAGAGGAGCAGCTGCTACATAGCTGAAGAAGACAACTCCCAAGCCTCAGGGGAGAAGGTACAGAATTTAAAAAAGGTTTTAAAGATCCATGATGATGCCTGCCCGCAGCTACACGATCCAGATCATTTGCTTGCCCCTTTCAACTTCTCAGAGAACAATTCAATCGAAGATCTCTCAAATCAGAAATGTCACACATTTAAAAAGAGCAAAAGTCCTTGGAATGTTCCACAATGTGCTTGGGATAACAAACTATGCAGCTTTGTAACAGATGACTGACCCAAGTACTATTTCTTTAACTAACTTTACTAGAACGGAATGCACCTATGACAGTTTTATTACTATTAGTTAAGACTAGATTCTTATCTGGTATTATCTACCTTTCATAGATCTGATACCTGATGCCCTGATAGTTTCAAAATTGGAAAAATCTCCACAATGTAGAAGTATCTGATAGTCTCTCAATTCAACCTTACAAAAGGGAAAAAATTTAATTATAGAGAAGAAAGTGTTCATACAGCTGATAAAAATGGAGGTCAGGAGATGCAAAACTTTCTCCAACTCAGCATTTAAGAGAACACTCACCCTGTGTGTGCCAGTCTCACACAGGCCTGGAGACAGCCCATGGAACCTAGAACTTCCTCCTGATTGGAATAATACCACCCCTCATAGGTACGTTTCTATTTTTGTGTGGGCTTTTAGAAAGCATACACGAAAATCATGTTCTCATATATCATCACTCAACTGGGAAAATGCCTTCTCTGCCAGTCAGTTGAGTCCCTGGGACCCTTGGAAGCTACCAATATTGTAAACCATCCACTACCCAGATGGAATTACCAACACGACTTGCAGAAATGAACACAATGGTATGCCGAGGGTAAATGACACCATGTGTACGCGCACACGCGCACGCGCGCACACACACACACACACACATAATGACACACACATAATGACACACACATGGGGGGGTATAAGTGCTCAGGAAGCAATTTAAAGTATTTATCAGTAAACATTCTATGTTAATGGACACTAGGAACAAGGAAACTTTTGTTTACAATGAGCCATGCAAAAATATTCCCAAACTTATAAAATGTGAAAAAAGAAAATCATGACAAATATTTACTATAAAAAATAAGATTACCAAAGGCTCAGTGGTCAGGTGTTCCACCTGCCAGCCAGGCTAACTGCTAATGGAGCAAACCCCAACTCAGCACCAGGGCCCTGACTGAGCTGCCAGAGACAGAAGCAGCACAGAATCCCCTCCCAACTGAAGACCACGGCACTTCACCAACACTCGGGTGGGGAAAAAAGATGCACCCCACCCCACCTGACAAGGCCCTGAAAAGGAACAGTTCTTTCTGCCTCTACCCTCTGAGCCTCACTGAGAACAGCCAGCCATTCCTGTCACTCAAAGTCAGCTTATTAGGAAAAATGAGACAAAAAACAACTCTTCATTTCTTATGTACAATATTCATATTTTAAACTCAAAATCTCTTCCATAATAGATGCCAGTGGGTGGGCAAATGCATTCCACTGCTACCAGGCCCTTTGTCCTGACTGCACATTCTCGGCATTGAGTGCCTTCAGCTCAAGGATAGCTGGCAGAAGACTCTCACACCTCAGATTCAGCCCTGTGCTCCTCACCCTAGAAGTCCCGGAGTCAGACAGGAGGCAAGTTATCATCATATAGACCACCCAGCACAAGCTACCTCTTTATATCTGCAGACCTAGTCAAGACCTTGCCTCTCTAGATACCTGTGAGGCGTTTAAAACAACTCTGTTCCCTTTTAAGCATTCGTAAGTATACAACATTCTCCACAACACACAGCTGAAATTTTTGCCCTTCTTTATGAGAGAAACAGCAATAGCTAAGTGTTTTTAACTGACTCAAACATTTCTCAGGCTAAAGAAAATATGGAATGACTTTCTAACCTAAAGGAAAGGACAATACCTGCTCCAAATGGGGCTGTTTTTCTTTCACATACCTTCCATTCCAGGAAAATAAACTAGTTCTACACAGTATTTTTCTAATAAAGATATAGAAAAATGATCCTTCTTTATGAGATATGCAGAGAAAATTGTTGATATGCAGACCACCCTCGCCCCTAACTGTCCTGGCCAAATGGCTCTGTTTCAGGATGATCTTTAAGTATGTCCCTGTTCCCCTGACCCCTCTAAGGATGAACAGAAAAAGGCAACACCCTGTGACTGGCTACTCCTCAGCTACTGTGGCCTCCTTACTCTCTCCTCATTCCTGTAGCTCCCTGGTACAGTCAGTGTCAAAGAAACAGGCCAATGAAAACTAAAAGTCCAAGTCCCTAACTGGCTACCCACCATCAACCCCAGAAGGCTGAAGAATCATCTAAGGTAATTCAGATGCTCTATGAAGAATTCACTTTAACACTTATTAACGTTAAGACTGCATACATTACAACAGTGCATTAGGGATACAAGTTGTAAAATACATTTTCCATTCCTTTGGGTTTTGCATATGATGGTTTTGCATCAGTCACTGCAGGTAGATTGAGCAAGCTTGGTTTTTGTGTTTGTTTTTTTAACATGCATTCAACTAGATATGATTCAGAATAGATTAATACTCCCTTCTTATCATTACAGTTAGCTAAAAAATTGCCAGGCAGACCACAAAACAGGATTTAAGACCAACCCACAGTTAGTTGGAAACTAACGGCGCTGGGACCTGCTGGGCTGGAACATAGTTGTGTTTAGCTAAGTGTCGAGAGCATTAAGAAGAAAGTCTTGGTTGGAGGCACAAGGCCTGCAGCACCAGCTGTGGAACCTTGATGTGACTGCACAGCTCCATCCTCAAACCTGGGGGAGAACAGACACACAGTCACACAGAGCCTTTCTGGAATGCTGCTCAGAAAACGCCACACCAAGGTCCAGGGATGCCAGAGGGACACCATGGGCAAAGCAGCCGAATCTGGTACCCACCCACCACATAGAGACCAGTTTCCCTCTTTTCCGCAGGTGGGAACGGGGACAAGCACACTCCAAGGATCAAGGTACATAGAAGTATATACACCAGCAAGGCGTGGTGGCACATGCCTGTGATCACATCACTCTGGAGGCTGGGGCAGGAGTGCCGTGAGTTTGAGGCCAGCATAGGCTACAAGTGTGTTCAAGCCAGTCTTAACTAAATAGACCCTGTCTCTAAACAAATACTCATAATTTCCTTCCGCTTTGTGAAGTCCCAATAAAAACAAAAGCATAAAACACTACACTGTTTTTAGCTCAAGGGTACATTTTCCTATTGCTGCTTATAGGTCTGCCAGTCTTACAGAAACACACTTTTGCCAGAGCCTCATCAGACTTCGTGGCCACTTACATTTGTCTGCAGGGTGATCACCACTGAGGGGGCACATAGCTGTAAGTGGGTGTTCCTGGAGCCCGGTATGTGGGCACAGTGACTGGGTGAGGGGCGACTGGAGTTGGGGAGTGAGCCGTCAACAGGGTACCTGAAAGAAAGAGCAGCATATGGCATACAAGGTAGGCATACATACTGCATGGCCAACGTCTGCACACAGCTCCACTGCCTCTGAGATGAGATACGGTACCTAGCCTCTTTGTCCAGGGGAAGGCACAAAGAAGGGGGATGGTCCAGACCAAGAGCATGGGCAGAACTCTGATTCGATTCTCCTGAGGAGTGTAAAAATGACCAACCCAGGGGGCTACTATTGATAACATATTTGTAAAAGGTTCTGTGCCTCACCTTCATAGAATATGCACCATATTTTTATGAGTCAGATGATAAACTACAAAAATTTTAAAATAATGTTGTTAATCTTAAAACAGCAAAGAAATTTTGATACATGCTACAACACAGCTTAAATGTGAGGGCACAATGCTAAGTGTTAAAGGTAAAAGGCCAGTGACAGGGCCCCAGGATTTAGCTCAGTGGTTCTGCTGCCTGCTTTGCAAGCCCAAGGATCTGAGTTCAATCTCTGGTACAAAAAAAAAAAGCCAGTGACAAAAAAATACTGTGATTCCGCTGATATGAGGTATTTAACAGCTGTCAAATTCATAAACACAAAATGAAATGCCAGATATAGAGGGCAGCAGAAAAGGGAACTTTTGTTTAATAGGTAAAGTAGTTTCAGATTTGCAAAAGGAAAAGCACTGTGAATATACCACACTAGAGAACTGTACACTAGGAAATGGTTAAGATGGGAAGGGCAAAGTGTGTCTTGTGTGGTCCCCACCTGTAAAACAAGCCAATCCCCAGACATTATAAGATCAAGCCCAGGGATTCCTTATGTCCACGAGACATGCTAACCCTGGCCAAGAGTCTTACTTCCCCATGGATTTTACTTTCCTGTTATACAAGAAGCCTGGGAAAGTAAAGTAGATAAATACCAAAGGATTTCTTCTACAAGCCACTTTTACTTCTGTTAACACAAGACCAGCTTTCCTAGATTTATGGAAACATGCATATTAATGCAGCTTGACCTAAAAAGACAGCTCATGCTAAGGGAAATTCAAGAGGTTCAGCCTGAACTACTGCACAATAGCCTACCAACAAGTCAATTCCATCAAAGTCAATGTGCTAATCCAGTTACGCTGCACAAGGGAGGTCACTTGGTTCACAGTTTGTTAACTGGAAAGAAACAGGGAAGGGAAAGAAGGAAAAGATAAAATTTTGCTACTTCTTATCCCCTAAACTAAGCGTAGCCATAAAACACTAGAGCCAAAGGTCAATCAATATTCAAAGGCTCTCCCTCACTTCACCCCACTCTCCAGCATCCCCCGAAGAGACACACAGGAACAGACTCACCTGCCGACATGGCCATGGTGGTTCCAGCAACCATGCCCATGGTGACACCACTACCTCTCGGAGGAGGGATGGGAGCAGGATACACTGTTGCCGGCATGCCGTTGGGCTGCACCACCGTGGTGTGGTGGATGACATGAGGGGGTGCTGCATACAGTGGCTGTGTGTAGTAGGTACCTTGCTGTGGGGAGAACAGAGACAACTGCCACAGGGTGCCACAGCCATTGAGACCTGATGGAACCGACCCTTCCCACAGCGCAGGGTGTGCCCAAGCATACCTGTGCATACGGGCTCTGCTGAGGGTAGGCACTTCGCACAGGGTACACAGCGGTCTGGTAGGGGTTGGGGGAGGAGGAGTATGGCGGCACAGCCCCACTGGTGGGGGAGCAGGACACTTTGTAAGGTGTGCCAGGAGTGTAACCTGGAACAGAAGGCAATGGCCCATGTTCACCCTAGCCCATGTCAGGCATGGGGAAGGATGACCGTTCGGGGAGGAGCCAGACGCATGTCAGCTCATGAATAACATGGTTAAGATGTGACACCACTGAGACCTGCCTCCATTTGTTAGCTCTATGTGCAACTGCAGTAGGGTTAGGTTTTAGGATGGAGGAGAAAGTTCCAGAGCATAAGGTCACAAAAACACAGGAAATAAAACACCTATCTATACTGCTAGAGTATAAATTGGTATGGCCTTCTTAGTGTTCAATTTGTCATTAAAAATGCTTACGTCTTTTTTTTTTTTTTTTTTTGATACCAGGGACCGAACTCGGAATCTCGCACTTTCTTGCGCTTTCGAAGCAGGTGGCAGAACCACTGAACTAAATCCCTGGCCCAACACAGATTTCCTGTTAGAAGTTGGAAAAGCAAGTTCAAAGTCAAGAATACCCAAGGGTCCCTACTGAGTGTCCTCCCAGTGCTATTAGGAGGTGATGGAAACTTTAAGAGGTGAAGTCTTCAGCCAGGGTTTCAGCTCAGTGGTTCCACTGCCTGCCTCACAAGCACAAGAACCCAAGTTCAATCCCTGGTACCGAAGGAAAAAAAACAAAACAAAAAAAACAAGGTGAAGTCTTTGAGTTCCCTGGGCAAGACCCTGGACCTCTTCTCCTCTCTTTCATTCCCCAGCTTTGAGGGGAAGCTCTACCATCCACCTATGCCATGATGTGCTTCCTCACCGAAAGTGACAGGGTCAACTGACCATGGACTGAAACTTTCAAAATTATTTAACCAAGATAAGCATTTTCTCTGAGAAAGTCAATTACACTGATGGGACACTAACACTGGCCTTTTTTCTAAGGCTATCCATCTCCTACCTAGTCTTTAAAAGGGGAAAGTGATGATTTCACATGGTGAAACAAATTAAAACTTTATATATGCTTTACTGCATGCCATGAAACTACAAGGCTGCAAAACATTTTCTTTAATTATAAAGAAAAAGGCAACACGGTAGCCTTCAAGTCCCTGCCATGCACTGACACTCCCAGAAGGTGGCCCATGACAGTCATAACCCTAAGCGATTGGCTCGCTCAGAGGAAAAAAGCACAGTGCAAGGCAGGGACACTGTCACTTGGTGTGGCCATGAGAGCATTACACCAGCTGTCTGCCACCAACACAGGGTGAGGCTCTGTCACAGAAACAATTGGGAAAATCCAGTTCTCTCCACAGGTGCCCGACCTCAGAGGAAAGTCTCAAGAAAACAGACTACCAACACAGCAACATTTACGCAGCCTTGGCAAGTAAGCAGGGCTCAGCTCAGGGTGGGACAATGCTATCCCAAAAGAAAGGAGCTGTGGAGATGAGGGCAAGGGAAAGTCTGAACTACACTGCAAGACCCTGTTCAAAAAACCAAAAAATAAACTGTTCCTAGCAAAAACTTCTTAAAGTAAAAAAATACTAAAATAATGGTTAGGCAGAGTGTTACAGATTAAGAAACAGTTGGGACTGGGGATTAAGCTCAATGGTGCCGCCACTTGCCTCGAAAGTGCAAGGTCCTGAGTTTGATCCCTGGTACCACACACACACACAAAGAAACAAACAAACAAACAAACAATGAGACATACAAAATAAAGCCAACATGTAACATTCAGTAGATCCCGATTCCAAATATTTTTAAAAATGATATAACTGGGGTAATTTGAATACGTACTATTAAATGAAATTAGGGGATTACTATTTCTAAGTATGGCATGCACTATTAAATAAAATTACAGAATTATTATTTCTAAGTGTAACAAGGATCATGCAGAAAAATGTCCTTGCTGTTACATAAGGGGCATTCTGAAGGCCACAGGAAAAGAGCCACAAAGACTACATACAATTCTAAATTAGTTCAACAGAAAAAGGAAAAGGAAAAAAAAAATGCACACATGCACATCCATCCTTATAAAGATAAAGGCAAGAGGGCAAAATGAAACTGATGGATCTAGGTGGTGGGTATTTTGGGCATTCGTTATAATGGTCTCTGCACTGTTCTGTGTATCTGATAGTTTTCTGTGATAAATGAGAAAATATGCTTTCAGACTGGGTTCAATGACATTAGTCTGTAGTCCCAGCTGCTTGGGGAGACTCAGACAGGAGGATGGTCCAAGACCCAAAGTTCAAGACCAGCCTGGGCAGCACAGGGCAACACTCTTGTCTCAAAAGACAAAATAAACAAACAAACAAACAAAAACAACAGCTTTCAGACAAAGACACAACTGTGGGAGCCAGGTACAAAATCTCCATCAAGGGTCACTCATCAGCTGAGAAAACAAGTTAGGAAGTTAGCTGATTGAATCACTACATTCCAATGCGCCCCTAGAAGAAGGAGTATCTGACTGAGCCTTTAAAAAGGCTATCACAGGAAGGCATGGCTCTTCAGCAACCTAATCTGAAAGACAGCCTAGCAGCAGGGCAGGGTGGGAAGAAGGAAGTTAAGACAATTCCTGCTCAATTGAAAGTTACAGTTCCGCATGATAAACTTATTCACAAAAGAAAGACAGGAAAAAAGGGGATGGTGTTTGAGGAAGTAAAAACTTAAACTCAGTGAATTCACAAGTGGAAAGAAAATACAGTTATCCTCTAAGGGACCCATCAATATTCCTAATAAGAAAGTGTATGACCATCCTGTCAATGTGCCAACTGTACAAAAAGTTGGGATGGAAGGAGGACAGGTGCTGCCAGCCTGGACACACAACCCGGAAGATGAGTAAGGAAAGCCTGGGCACAGGTCTCCAAAGGGGTCCTCTGAGCACAGCAGACACCAGAACAGCCATGTACAGAAATGCCCTCAGAGGACATCCCCACAGCTGGTGGGACCCTGGGTGTTTAATGGCAAAATCACAGACACCTAATGAAAGACACCAGGTGACCATCAGTTCCAGGGAGGGACAAAGGAGCCAGATGAAAATAACCAGATACGCATGACACACCCGTAAACAATGTTTACAGGCTCAAACTGAGAGGGATGAGAAGGCATTACTCTCCCGCTCAAAGAAATAAAAAGGCTAAATTCTTATCCAAATTGACACATCAGCAAACAGCACTGCCTTAAAAACAACAACAACAACAACAAAAAACTAGCAACAGGAGATTATGTGGACATATGGGAGACAACAGCAAAATGAACAGCTGCAAGAGTTTAAATTACTGCGTTTGCCTACACTGTGGGAAAAGGGGTTCAAACAAGCTGGTAGGGAACTGCTGTTTTCATTTTTAAAAGCTTATAGAACTACTGAAATTTTTAAACTGTATACATCTGAACCTTTAACTTTAAAAGTCTCCTACAGTCCCACAACTTACTGTATTCTAATGCTATTCTCTGCTATGTGGCTGCCATCAATTCAGTTTAATTGTTAAACAGACCTAAGTCTGAGTTTAAAAAGAAAAAAATGTGTAAAGAATTTTCACTTAGTAAATATCCTTCAAAAATAAGAACAGATATAAACACTGTATGATACCAAGTTTAATTAAACCAATACTTTATTAAGTGTTCATACTTAAAGGTGCAAGATCACAAGGATGAATGTAACTGTACTGTTTACTTAAAAAGTACCAATAAACTCAATAAGATAAAAAATGTATTCATACTAGTATATAAATGTTTACAAACTGATTAGTACCACAAGATAAATCATTCTATGCACATTTCCATCTTCTTCTAAATACAGAGCTTACTACATGATTTCAGATCATCACTGCAAGTATCAATTACAGGTGTTGGTTGGCCATAAGCAAAACTAGACAGAGGCCTGAACATGCTGGCTGAGGGCCTGAGCCTGGCCTGCTGACAACTGGTCCTGAGCATGAGCCTGGGACTGCAATCCTCCAATAACACAGCCAAGGGGTAGGTATGTTCATCAGACAAATGCCCAGAGTAAAGTTACACATGGCCAGAACATAAGCCACCTAGTCACCTCACAATCCAAACTGTGATTCCAAAATCAGACTGCTCACTCTGGCTACACTTGTGTATGGCCTATGACATTTTCCAGGAGGACAAAACAAAGGTGGACTTCTCAGCTTCCAGACTGCATGTAATGGAACTCTTCAGCAAAAATCACACTTCAGCACCATAAGGTAGGTATTCTGAACCTTCTCTGTCACACTTGGAAGAGGGGCTTAAAAAATAAACAGCACTAGGGGTTACAAAAGCAGTCTGAAAGCCAAATTGCACAAATACAGTGCCTACACCAAGATCAGCTTTGTCTACAAATCTGGTGACTAAAAAAACCAGAAAGTGGGCCGGGGATTTAGCTCAGTGGTACCACAAGCACAAGGTCCCAAATTCAATTCCTGGTACAAAATAAACAAACAAACAAACAAACAAACAAACAAAGTATATCAAGAAAGCACGAAGGGTGAAAACTCTCCTTAATGCTTTTAAAGTAATGACTGACTTCCTCATCAATAAAAGAAAAGAGGACTGGGAATTTAGCTCAGTGGTGCCACTGCCTGTTTCACAAGCGCAAGGTCTTGAGTTCAATCCCCGGTGCCCCCCTCCCAAAAGAGACAGAGAGAAAAGGTCCGCTGAAAAGGAAATTAGTATTTTAAAACATGACAAACTCAAAAGATCAGAGTATAGCTGTGTCCCATACACAGGTCAGGCAGCCAACAGCACTTCGTCATCCGAGTGCCTCAGTGGTGCTGGGGATTGAATCCATATCCTTATGCCTGCCAGGTACACATTCTAACACTGAGATACATCCCCAGCCTATCTGTTTTCATACAGATATTTCACAAAAAAGTCTTTATTCACAGCTTCTCAAAAAAAAAAAAAAAAAAAAAAAAAAAAAAAGCTGGTACTGCTCCTGTCTGGCACCCATCAGTGGGCACCCCATCTCAAAGGAGGCACTTGGGCAGCTGCACTTCCTACCTACCTGCCCCAGCTTCTGGGTTAGGGGATCCATTTAACAGCAGTCCTGGAAAAGGGCCAAGAAAGGATTCATCTCCCTGAGAGAGGAAAGCTGTAAGAGAAGGTGGGTGATGCCTGTCCTACAGAGGCCAACAGTCTCCACACACCTGCGCCGTATACTTCTTGTATATGCTGTAAGTATATGTAAAGTATATGGCCAGTACAGCTAGGAGTGAACATATCCATTATTGGTATAAGCTTTGAGTTTCCATCTGCCCATTTCTAAGTTGCCCAGACTCCAAGCAATCATTGCTCTGCTTTTTCTTGCTATTTATGAGTGTGTTTTCTAAAATGTTTATGAAAATAGATTCACATAGGATGTCCCTTTTTTTGGACTGGCTTTTTTCATTTGGCATAACTACTGTGGCATCTGTCTTAATGTGCATCACTGGTTCATTCGTTTTTATTATTAAGTCGTGTTCCATTGTATGGAAATACACCACACACCACACCATATACTTCCTGTGCAAGGAAGGGCTGGTCACTTTCGGCAAAAACAACTGGGTCACTCTCAAATAAATCTGAGGCACTTTTTGTAAACTGATAAAAATTAGTTGGAAGTTTTTACCTTAAGTTGTCCTCCACTAAGAAAAGTACTGTAAGTGAGCTAGCTACCTTTGAAAACTCTAGAAAAATAACAATTTATGGTGGTTTACTGCATGATCACATGTAGCATTAACATTCAAAAATAAACTTCACTCCAATCTAGCACCGTACATAAAAATTAACCCCAAACAGCCCACAGAACTAAAAGTACAACCTAAACTACAAAACCTCCAGAAGAAAAAAGGAGAAAATCATTATGAAGTTGGGTTAGGAAGATTTATCAGAAAAGATCTCAAAATCATGATTAAAAATAAATAATAAATAAAATGATAAACTAAACCTCAACAAATTTTAAAAACAACTCTCTAAAAGACTCCATTAGGGCAGAGGATTTAGCTCTGTAGTTCTGCTGCCTACCTAAAAGGCATAAGGTCCCAAGTTCAATCCCCAGTACCAAATAAATAAAATACTCCAATAGAAGAATTTTTAAAAATCTACAGACTGGGAGAAAAACCTCTACTGCTCATTTACTGAAAAAAGCACTTAAGCCTCAACAATAAAAAAACAAATTTGGGCCCTGGGTGTGGTGGTGGTGGTGGTGGTGCATACCTGTAGTCTCAGCATCTCAAGAAGCTGAGGCACAAGGATCACTTCGGCATAGAAAGGGGTTGAAGTTGGCCCGGGCAACATAAAAAGATCTTCTCTCCTAAGACATTTTTTTAAATTAAAAATACAAATAATAAAAATGAATTACTGGTCGAGCATGGTGGGGCATACCTGTAATCCCAGTACTCGGGAGGTTGAGACAGGAGATTACTGCATGATTATGTCCAGCCTGAACTACACAGTTGAGACCCTGTCTCAAAAACAAAAACAAAAACAAAACAACCAACAGCCTTTTTAAAAAACCCATTGTAGAGCCAGGATTTAGCTCAGTGTTTCTGCTGCCTGCCTCACAAGCACAAGGTCCCAAGTTCGATCCCTGGAACCAAAATAAATAAACAAACAAATAAATAAAACAATCCTCTGTAACTGATACAAGACACATACAAACCCTACCAAAGACCCACATACAAATGGAAAAAAAAAAAAAGCAAATGAAAAGATCAATTACCATCGCTTGTTACGGAAATTAAAATTGAAACTACAGTGATACATTACACATTCATCAGAATAGCTAAAATTTCAAAAACTGATCCTAACCATGCTAAGGATGTGGAACGCCCAGATTTCTCACACTCTTAAGAGGAATGTAAAATGGCACAACCATTCTAGAAGACAGTTTGGCAATTTCCTACAAAGTTAACTACATACCTGCCTTAACAACCAGTCACTCCATTCCTCTATATCCACTCAGGCAGAAATGAAAGCATCTGTCCTATATAAAGACTGGTGTATTGTCCATGATATTCATAGCAATTTCATTTATAATACAACAAAACTAAATTACCCAAATGCTCACTACCTGGCAAATGGATAAGTAAAGTGGTATTTCCATACAATGGAACACGACCTAATTATAAAAAGGAATGAACCAGCGATACATGGTATCAGGTGCCAGAGTAATTATGCCAAATGAAAAAAGCCAGTCCAAAAAATAGGACATCCTATGTGAATCCATTTACATAAACATTTTAGAAAACACACACTCATCAACAGCAAGAAAAAGCAGAGCAATGATTGCTTGGAGCCTGGGAAACTTAGAAATGGGCAGACAGAAACTCAAAACTTGTACCAATAATGCATATGTGTGGCCAGCTGTGCTGGTCATATACTTTACTGCAAAGATTATAGACCAGCACACTATAAACATGTGGAGGAAATCAACAGAACAACAAGAGTTAAACAATGTGGAATGTCTTACAAAAAGAGATGGGAGGCTGACACTAATAAAAGCCCAGAGGACAACAGTATGCTAACAACTGCTGAACTCCAAGAAGGGATGTTCACCACAGCCTCAAAGACAGGCACAAAGAAGAGGTATTCTAATCAAGCCAAAGAGAAACTGTCCCAACCACAAAAAGCTAGAAAAGAATACAAAAGAAAAACTGCTTGGAAAGAAAAAAAAAAGAGACCACTGAATTTCAAAGCGTTAGTTTAAATCAAAACTCTTGGCTTAACTGTGTCGTATAGTGAAGGGAAAGCATCAAAGAGAAGTTCATCCCACATTACTTTGGCTGAAGTGGGAATGAACATGAACTCAGAACAGAAGGCCTAGGACCTGGAAGATCATGCAACATCTGTCTCTGAGTACAAACTAAGGGCTGAAGAGAGGTGGTCACAGTGGAGACAGAAAGATGGACATAAGGGTAGAATACAAAGGCAGAATCATATGAGTCATAAAACAGGAAGAATTTGGAGAGGGATACTACTGATTTCTCCTCTTCTGACAAAGTTAATTACCCCATCAGTCTTATAAGGCATCATCACCACCCCCTGTGGAAGGCAAGCCAATCTCTTATATCAAAGCATGGACCACCACTGCTACAAAGGAATTTCAAAGTCCTAAGCTGAATAAAGCCTGAAAGAAGCCAATAAAATGTGCAGGTTCACCAGAAGAACTCCCTGTGAAATAATCTTTACAAAATTTAGATCCAAACCAATTTAGTTTGAACAGTGATATTTAAAATGTAAAAATATCCTAAGTACCCTACAAGGAAAACAAGACTTTCTTTTAAAAATATAACCAAAGTACCAAACTAGTGTAGAAAAATCAATGGTAAGATAGCTTTCAGTTTCTAGTAGTCAACTCTACTGCATGAACAGAAGTTCTGGCACACAGAATGAACTTGTCACAGGCTGTGACAGATTTGTATAGTGGGAGAAGCTACAGTATATCTAAAGCTTCATGTGGATTAAGAATTATACTGTTTTCCCACTTATCAACAAGCCAATTCTATGAAATCAGAAATCTACAAGGTCAAATCCTAAATCCATGCCCCCTCTTCTCAAAACCAACTCCAGCTCCCCTCACTTTCTCCCCCAACTGCATGACAATGCATGTGCTCACCCAAAACATACCTGTTTGGAAGGTAGGATTTGCTCCAGGGTACATGTTGGGAGAATAAGCAGGAGGTGCTGCTGCATAGCCCATGGGGAAACCAGCTGAAGGAAAACACACACAGCACAATGGATGTCAATGAAGGTATGAGGCGATCTTACAACCATAAGTCTCACAAACGTACTGCTCTTACCATTGTTTCCAGAACTCCACACACTTAGAGACCATGGTGGCACTCTGTATTTCACAGTTCATCTTTAATTGTCATAACCTCAGAATTTTGATGGGTCACAACCATAATCAAGTCTTTTGAGGGGTGGAATGCTGGAGACTGAACTGAAGGCCTTGCAATGAGCTACACCTCAGTGCCCCTTTTATTTTGAGATTTGGTCCCATTAACTTGCCCAGACTGGCCTTGAATTTGAAATCTCCTGCCTCAACTTCCCCAGTAACTTTGTGCCAATGTGCATAGTCAAAATCGTGTCTTTTAAACCTCTGATCAAATACTTATAACTGCCTACAATTGGGAAAAAAAATTCACAAACTGAATCACAAGTTTACTATCAAGAAGAGCCAAAGCAAGAGGCTATGGGTATAGTTCAATGGTAGAGTGTGTGCTTAGCACATGTGAGGCCCTTGGCTACATCCTCAGCATCAAAATAAGTAAGAATAGCTAAAGCATAATCAAAACGACCAAAAAATTTTTTTAAAGAATCCAAGATAGATGAAGGAAACCTCCAACACTTCTGGCAGTTTTATTCCAGAATTACAGAAGGAAGAATTACAGAAATGACAAAAATACCATGCACTAGGTTCTATATTTGATTTTACCAAAATATGGAAGAACCATCATTCAAATCTAGCCTGAAACCCACAGCCTATTTCTCCTTCTGTCAGTGAGACAATAAGTGTTTTAAGGCCATACACTCTCAGTGACTCCAAAGACAATGCCACCATACTGCATATTTTCAATTAGAAGCTAGTAATTTATTAAGTACTATATTTAAATTTCTAAATTCATTTCAGACTTTTTCATATTTTGAAATTCTAAGCCAACTCCCCCAATTTAGGATCACCAGACTGTCAGTGTCTTCACTGATGCTTTAGGACTCTTCCTGAAGGAAGGGGTTTGGCCCTGTAGACACACAGAAATGGGAAAAATCCAATCAGGATCCACATAAAAGCAAGCTGGTCTTTACTAACACAAACCACAGCTACTAATAAATCCTTACTATGAACACAACAGAAACACTAAACACACTTAGTGTTCTAGTCAGAATCAGCCTCCAGAGTGTTTACCAGCAGAGGGAGCCTGTCACCTACTCAGTCCTCCTCAGAAACTAGGGGGCTCATGAGACTCCTGTCCCTTTCCCCTTGCCCTCTGCTGCACCATGCAGGAGACGACACTTGTGTGACAGCAAGGACATTAGAAAGCCTTCGTACTGAAGACACAGAGCCAACTCAAGCTCACTAGCTTCATTAGTGTCACAACTACTTATGTGAGGCTGTACTTTTCTATTCCTCTCTTCTCTAACCTAAAAATAAACCTGAAACAGTGGTCCTCAAAAGACACTGGGCTGGGGAAGCCCAAAAATGGTGCTTCCTAGGGCAGTGGACTAGGACATTTAAGTGTACCGGGACCCTGAAGGCACTATGGTGGTAACAGTAACCAAAGTGAGGAAACCTTGAGGGTTACTTGAAAACCAGGAGCAGGGCAAGGAATATCTTTGTAGATGGGTTTTATATTTTCTGCAGTGCTGGGGCTTGAACACAAGGGAGAAGGCTCTCCCACAAGAGGTAGACATTGTAGTTCTGAGCTACATACCTAGTTCAGGGGCAGGTTTTATTGAAGGTTCTAATAAAGGTCCTTTCTCAAATCCCTGCAGCACACACCTCCTCCAGCCTGGATGCCCCGCTCCAGCTCCCTGCTCTCCAAGCTGTCCTTCAGGTTTCCGGGGAAACAGGGGTCATCACTTATGGCCCATAGGAATCCCTAAAAGTGCTCAGTTCTCATAGACAAATCTGTGCTTCAAAGCTGCTTTCTTGTGGGCCAGGGATTTAGCTCAGTGGTTCTGGTGTCTGCCTTGAAAGCACAAGGACCCAAGCTGGATACCCAGTAGCACAAAAAAAAAAGTTACTTTCCTTGGTTCTTGAAACTGATTCTCCTCACTTTTGAGTTTCCTGCCTGGATTCTCACTTGCCCTCTCTAACTAATGAGAAAAGGAGGGGGGGGTGTTTTATCAACTCATTTTGGTCATTGAGGGCAGATTCCATTTCAAACAGACCTAAAATCACCACTGGAAAGACCAGGGCAGCAGTTTCCATCAGTGTTGTCTGGACTAACAGAGCTAGCTCCCTCAGAGACCAGACTGTGAGGCTCACACAGGCTGTGGACTCACCTATAGGAGCTGCCAGGATGTAGCTTTGATACCAGGGAGCCAGTTAGAATGCTTTAAAACATCACTGCATTATTTTTTTTAATTTAATTTATTGGTACATTCTAGGTAGACAGTACAGGTACATTCATTACGGGGATCTTGTACCTTTACATGCCAGGTCTTGGTTCTCATTTTTTCCCCTTGTCCCCACCCTCCCTTCACCCTCTCCTCCCCTCCCCACCTTCAAACACTTTAATTCCATCTTTACATTTTCTCATATATTTTTCCTTTTCCCTTATTCCCCCTTCCCTATCCTTCTCACTGTCCCCTACACCTTTGGTCCTTTTCTTTGTATGTGTTAAGTGTCCCATTAGGATCTTGAGTACTATTATAGTTTTTCACACCAGACATACTCTTCGGTATTTGCATATGTGTGCCTTATTTATTTCACTTAGAAGTATATCCTCAAAATGTACCCATTTACCTATGAATGAATCTACTTTCTCATTCTTTATGGCTGAGTAGTATTCCATTATATAGAAAAACCACATCTTCTTTATCCAGTTTCCAATTGATGAGCAGATGGGCTGTTTACAAGTTTTAGCCATTACAAACTGTGCCACTATAAACATGGGTGCGCATGTATCACTGTGGTATGATTCTTTCACTTCTTTTGGAAAGATACCCAACAGAGGGATGGCTAGGTCAAATGGAACCTCTAATCCTAGTTCTTTGAGGTATCTCCATATTGACTTCCATAGTGGTTGTACCAGTCTGCACTCCCACCAACAATGGAGAAGGGTTCCTTTCTCCCCACAACAGCGACAACATTTGTTATTGTGTGATTTCTTGATAGCAGCCATTCTTTGTGGGGTGAGGTGAAATCTGTGTTGTTATCATCTGCATCTCTCGAATGATCAGTGATGTGGAGCATTTTTTCATATATTTACTTGGGGCTTTTATTTCTTTGAGAAATGTATGTTCATTTCAGATGCCCATTTATGAATTGGGTCTTTATATTTGGGGGGCTGGTTGTTTTTATTTCTTTATATATTTTAGATAATAGTCCTTTGTCTGAGGAGCAGCTGGTAAAAAGTTTTTCCCCACATTGTAGGTTGTCTCTTAGTTCTGTTGATGGTTTCTTTTGCAGTGCAGAAGCTTTTTAATGAGATCCCAGTTGTTGATTCTTTCTGGTAGTTCCCGTGCTACTGAAGATTTGTTCATAAAGTCTTTTCCTATGCCAATGTCTTCCAGAGTTCTGCCTAACTTATCGTCCAGCAAGTTTAGTGTTTCTGTTTTAATATTTAGATCTTTAATCCACTTGGATTTTAATTTAGTGCATGGTGACAGGTAAGGGTCTAATTTTAATCTTTTGCAGGTTGAGATCCAGTTTTTCCAACACCATTTATTAAAGAGGATATCTTTCCTCCAGTGGGACTGGCAGCTCCTTTGTCAAAGATGAGGTAGCTGAGTGCATCTGGAATTGTTTTTGTGTCTTCCAATCTGTTCCACTGATCTTCAGGTCTGCTTCTTTGCCAGTACCATGCTGTTTTTATCACAGTGGCTTTGTAGTATAGTTTCAAATTGGGAATTTGTTATACCTGCTGCCATGCGTCTGTTGCCTAGTATGGCTTTTGCTATTCTAGGTCTCTTCTGGTTCCAAATGAATTTTTGGATTCTTCTTTCTAGTTCTGTGAAGTATAGTGTTGCGATTTCAATTGGTATTGCATTGAATCCGAACAGCAGTTTTGGTAGTATGGCCATTTTCACTATGTTGATTCTTCCTACCCAGGAGCAGGGGACATCTTTCCATTTTCTTAAATCTTCCTCGATCTCTTTTTTCAGAGTGCTGTAGTTTTCAGTGTAGAGGTCTTTTGCTTCTTTTGTTAGGTTGATTCCCAGATACTTCATTTTTTTGGGTGCTATTGTGAAAGGAATTGTTTGCCAAATTTCTTTCTCAGTGAGTCTGTTATTTGTGTACAAGAAGGCTATTGATTTTTGGGTGTTGACCTTGTATCCAGCTACTCTGCCAAAAGTGTCAATTAAGTCGAGAAGTCTTTTGGTGGAGTTTTTTGGGTCTTCAATGTAGAGTACCATATCATCGGCAAGTAATGAGTTTAACTTCTTCCTTTCCTATCTTTATTGCTTTAATTTCTTTCTCTTGTCTAATTGCTATGGCTAATGTTTCCAGAACTATATCGAAGAGGAGTGGTGATAGGCATCCTTGTCTTGTTCCTGATTTTAACGTGAAGGTTTTCAGTTTTTGGCCACTTAATATGATGTTGGCTGTTGGTTTTTCACAGATAGCCTTTATTAAGTTGAGACATAGACCATCTATTCCAATTTTTTGCAGTTTTTATCATGAATGGGTGTTGAATTTCGTCAAATGCTTTTTCTGCATCTATCGAGAGGATCATGTGGTTCTTGTCCTTCACTTTGTTAATAAAGTGTATTAATTAATTGATTTATGTATGTTGAACCATCCTTGCATCCCTGGAATAAATCCGACTTGGTCAGGATGAATGATCTTCTTGATGATCCTCTGTATTCTGTTTGCTAGTATCTTATTGAGGATTTTTGCATCTATATTCATTAAGGAGATTGGCCTGTAGTGCTCTTTTTTTGTTACATCTTCCCCAGGTTTGGGAATAAAAGTGGTATTTGCTTCTAGGAATGAATTTGGAAGTAATGCTTCTCTTTCAATTTCTTTGAAAAGTCTGAAGAGT